ACACACACACACACACACACACACACACACACACTAATGAGCTGGACAGCCTGCCAATGCAACAGCGTAACCACAAACAATGAAAGTGGAGTAATTGTTACTGTTTTGTGAGAGTCCTGCATCGTAAACATGACATGACTGACCAGTAAACAATGCAATCGAGTAACATAATTACGACTCTGCAGCTCTCCCACACACATGAAAGGAAAAACTCCAGCCTGCTAATATGAGATAATGTGCTGATGGCAGAACAGTAATGGCTCCCTACAGTTTCAGTCACAGGACTGTTGATTTGATTATAGTGAAGGGTTTGAATCTGATGAAGAATCACAATAGTGCATTTTGACGAAAGTATTTGTTGTTTTCAAGCAAAACGTCTTTGATGGAGGAACAATGATGTCGATCAATGATTTTTATGTCATTGCTGCGACAATTAAAACTACAATGTCACAGCGGCACTGATTGCCACTGTGTTATCATTATCTTAATACTACCAGCAAAATGAGCATCATCTTTATTCAAACATTATGGTGTCAGAGGCAGAAAGACACCCAGCAATCCTGCAAGGCGCTTCCGCTTCTTTCTCTTCTTCTGTTGTTTAATGATGTTTCATCTTCCTGAAACTAGTCCAAAGTCAGAACCATTAAAAAAAATAGATTAAATCATTTCTATCTGAACACAGGTTAATTTGATCCCGACCAAGAAACTCTAAATTTTGGTCCGTCAGTCGCGAATGTGGTCTGAGGCACCTTTCACACCTGTTATTTGGTTCACACTAAACTGAGAAGTCTAAAGGTCCAGTCCAAACAACATGGGTGTGACAGCGCCCTACAACAAGAGGACTAAAACAAAAGTTGAGTCTCACCTGCAAACAGAGCTACGTTGGCATGTTTGGGGTCATAAGGGCATCTCGCCATCCCACTGACCGTGTCTCCAACCATCTCCAGAGTGTCTCCCTGTAAGGCCGCGCACACAGAAAATGCACACACACATACGCACACATCAATCAACATACTCCAAACATTGTGGCTGTGTCTGCAACAGCATTGTGAAAACAAGGCACCAGAGAACGGCAATTAGGGAGTGTTACTGTAAGTGCAAACTAATGATTCACTGGTGGCAATTAGGCACAGCAGCAACAACAAGAGACACATTCTCATACATAAATAAAACAGATAAACACACAGACACACTGGGGTCCAGCCATACACCCACATAAAGTCACATTGACGATTCAAACAGTTTTCAGCTCTTACACACAAACGCACTCATACGGGTAGGGAAATTGCTGCGTCTCTCTCTCTTCAAAAACACGTTCACAAACACATAAACTTAAAAAATAAAAACCCAAGCAAACTATTCCTGCAGCATAGTAGAATTCTCATTCGAGGCCGAAAATGAAATAATTAATATTTGTCATTTCATTAAAACCCTGGCTATTAATAAAACAGTCGCTAACATCACTAACTAGTCCCGGGAGAAAAAGGCGTGCAGCCTATCAGGCAGAAGACAGGTGTGTTATACGCTGTTGTAGAATGTCATTAGTTGCTGACAGATAATGGGCCAGGTAGAGCTCCGTGTATCACTGTTGCACTGTTTGAAATGTGAGAGACTGAGAATAACACTTATCTGAAAAAAAGCCTTTGATACTGAAAGGATTTTTTTCTCCTTCTCAACTGCCTTCTTCATCCCTTATTTAATATTCCTGCTAGAGGATGTGAAATCAGTCGAGGCCATGATTAATATTTATGTGTAGTTTTTCTTCCACGAGTTTGAGATTGTTACCGTAATTGAGCGAGACAGGAATTGGTCGGGAGGTGAATGGTGTAGGAATCGGGTGCTGAATGGATGCACACATTCAGAGGCTGATAGATGTATATGAGGAGGAATTATTTGGGGTACACTCTAGTTTGCTTGAATCGGGTCAGTCAACAGCTTTAACCCCGGTGTCTCTTTAATACCTGCCTTCTACTGTGGAATGGCTTTTCTTTTTTAACCAGCAGCAATGAGAACAAAGCCGGCAAACAAGTCACGTCTGCACGGCCCTTAATCACAGCTCCTCTTCCTCCTCTCCCCCTCTTTTGTGTTTGTCTTGGTTATCCGCTTTCTCCGACTTGATGATAACAAGCTTGGCAGACCACAAAGTTTAACCACCGGGAAACAACAACTGTTGTATCTCAGGAAAACGAGGGAGTGTAGCTGCCAGACAACTCAGATAAATTGCTCCTGAAGAGAAAGTCAACGCTGCCGCAAACAAACAACTTTAATCAAGCTGTGAATTTTCACCTGAACAGACATACTAATTTCATAAGGGAAGCCAGGCCTCTTCTCTGAAAATATGGATAAACCAGCAGTAATTCAGGCATTGTACCTGACTGTTATTGTAAAGAAAGCCTGCAAGGTAAAGCTTTTTTTACGGGTGGATCTACTCTGAAACCTTCATCTATGCTCATATGTAGTGACCGAAAGATCGAGGAGCCAAATACAAGCGGCCAAGATGAATTTTCCCCTTAGGGTGGCTGAGCTCAGCCTTTAGAGACAGGGAGAGGAGATAAGACATCTGGAGGGAGCTTGGAGTAGAATCACTGCTTTTTCAGGTCAAAAGGGGAAAGTTCAGGTATTTAAATAATCTCGTCTAAGGCACCTTCCGTTTGCGGGATGTTTCCAGGAAGAGCTGGAAAGCATGGCCAGGGAGATGGACATTTCGGATACCCTACCTGACCAGCTACCTCCACAACTTGAGCCCAGACAAGCGGAAAAAAATGGATGGAAGGACAGATGGATGGATTGTATGAAGTATGAATTCATGATTGGACTAGTCACAGGTCTATGACAGGTGGAGCTGTGACCGCAGGTGTGAGCACGATCAGTCTTTACTTACGGTATAGTTGGCACAGAGCGGATTGAAGGCATTGGTCCCGCAGACAAACAGGCCTCCTTGTCTACTGAGCAGCACCTTCATGAAGTTACGGCATTCATCCTGCAGGGAAGACAGAAATACAGAGAGGTTAGAAGCTTAGTATGCAGGAGGGGTAAAAGCGAGGAGAAGAAAAGCAAAATGATGGAGTGAATGGAGGGAAAAGTGAGTTTATTTTTCAGAGACTGATTATCCAGCGTGTGCTGTGAAATGAAGCTTTTCAGTTGCCTGATGTGTAGAATTATCACACCATTAACGCTGTCAATCAGATTGATACAGTCTGAACGTAGCCTGTAGAGACTTTAAGTGTCTACCCTCACTGAGGCACACACACAAACACACACACGCATACACACACACACACAGCTGCTGATGATTGACAGATGGTAATCCATACCACACTCTGGATTTCAGAACAAGAAGCAGATTTAAGACTAATTTCTCCACCGTGAGATGTCAGACTCCATGATGCCCGCCTAATGACTAGAGTCACACTTCCATTATGCCACGCTCATTCTTTGAAAAACGGAGTAGAGTGAGCACTGCAAGACTTAATGGCTGCTTTTATTCCACAGTGAGTGACAGTTGTGAAGGTTGATTTCATGAAACAGAGAAACAAAACAACATGTTAGTTCATCTCCTGGCATCAGGGCTTTTACAGAAACCGGTTTAACTGATGTTCACTTGACTTGTTGAGATGATCACATGATTGTGCACCTAAACAACACACGATGATTGACTGCCCAAAAAGACAGTATGGTCCAACTTTTTGTCTTTTCACTTTTAATATATAGACATATTTCTATTCTTAATTCCTATATGTCCATGTTTGAAGGTCTGTTTAAGAAAGAGATGCAAAGTAAGCCCACACTCAGCTCCCCCACGACCATTTCCCATCCACTAACATGGAGGAGGCGGGATTTATGACCAAAATTGCAGCCATAAACCCACTTTGGCTTCACTTTAGAGAAGCCGTTATATCCATAGATATGCACAGTCTGTGCTATGAACCCTTTTTTAATTGCTTTATTACAAATTTTTTAGTTTTCTGACCCTTTGAAATTGATACGATTTCTTTTGACTTCTCACTGCAGGTTCTGCTTTGTTGTAATCATTAGTTGTGGTCAATAAAATAAAAAAGTTTATATCCATAAGTGTGTGTGAAGGTGTTCAATATTTTACGAAAAACAGAAAGGCCAGGAAAGAAGAGTTTACACTATGGCTAGCACAAACAAGAGTAGCAGTGAATCTGCATGTGGGGGATATTTTTGTTGTCACTGAGAATTAAGTTATTCCAGTTATGACCTTTGACTTTTAATCCAGGAGGTAATGACAGCAGTTTGTTTTTGCAAGGCTGAGTCCGCCACCTGTGTGTGTGAGCGCAGAGTGAGTGAGTGGTGATGTACAGTAGATCTCTGATGGACAGCAGCCAGCAACCCCCCTCCCCAAGCTAGTCTCCCAGTCAGGGTGGCACCAGCTCTGTAACCCCCAACCCCCAACTCACACATGCACACTCACACACCAAACCCACTGCTGATGTCATCCAAAAGAGAAGAAGAGCTGGAGCAGAAGCGGTGTTGGAAGTGATCGTGGGTATGTTGAAAACCCTTGTATATGTGTCTACGTGTGTGTTTGTGTGTGTGTGTGTGAGAGAGAGAGATCAGAGGTGAAGCAGTGATATGAGATACGGGTGAATGTTATTCCAGATGCTCCACCCCTACCCCCCACTGCCCCTCCACCTTCCCACTTCATTCCCTGCAGTGTTCTCATTTTTCAACGGCGAAAAAAAAAAAAAAAGACAGGAGAGAAGTGTTTTCGTGTGCGTGTGTGTGTGTGTGTATGTGAGTTTGATGCAGGGGGTGTGTCAAGTGTGAGGTGTAAATTTCGAATGGCGCAGCACAATGTGACAAATTGAGGTGTGACGGTTGCGGGATATGAGGATATGTCATTCCCCCATATAGCAGCATGTGTTCCAGCCTGGTGCATACATCTGTGTGTGTGTGTGTGTGTGTGTGTGTGTGTGTGTGTGTGTGTGTGTTTGCATGTGTGTTTCTCTGCATCACAGCACAGATGCGTGCTCGTCTGTGAGAATCATTTGCATGCTGCTTGTCGGCGGGGTTGCAGTCTGTCAGCTTGGTCAGAGCTGTAATCACAAAGCCAGATGAAGCACTCTTAATAACAACCCTGTCCCACTGCCAGCATCTCAGAGAGGGGAGTAAATACTTCCAAGAGCCAAACCACTGCACAAATGTAGGCAATTGGCAGCGCTTGTACACATAAAATGAAACACTTCATGACCACATGATAAAACAAGGATTGGATCCTTTGCAACATTTCAGCCATGGAGCTCCGATTTCCATTTGCACTTTACAGACATTGTCAAAATTAACTCCCTGCTGCATGCATGCATTTCATTAACCCTTATTCATTATTTCCAGGAAGCAAATTGGCACTTCCAGGTACAGGTTCTTCTTTATTAAAGCCCAGTTCAGTCTGCAGGATTATGGCTTTACTGTGGTTTCCACATTTAAAAAGAAAACAAGCAGCAAATCACTGAATTAAACAATTATATATGAATTCAAATGTTGTACGTCCTGATGCCTCCTCCTTCTCCCTTCTGCCTCCTCCTCCTCTCCCTGCTCCCTCACTCCCTGGGCAGAGTCCAGACAAAACGCCACCTGTGCGCGCTGGCAAGACTTTCCAAGACCCAGACGACTGCAGCCCTCCTCCCCGTCCTCCCCATCTTCCTTCTCCTCCTCCTCCTCTTACTGAGCTGCCTGGCCTCTGAAAAATTAATCTGCAGCACAGATGAGTTACACAGGAGCGTGCGCTCAGTGCAAATATGGACTTTGTCGTGAATGGATGGCGACATTTAAAGGAGATCGAGAGGAAGATGGGGAGAGATGCTGCTCAAGCATGCACACGTGTCTGCCAGCAAGTTTCAATGTGTGAATTTGCATTGATATAAACCGGATGCTATGCAGTTTGCAATATCTTAATCAGTTTCTTGCTCTTGAGGTTAGCCAGGCTCCTTCTAATTTGTGTATTCCACCTTTGAAATTTCCAGCACAGACCCAGATATTTTCCTTAGAGACACAAAAACAGGCATATCTGAAAGCATTTGTATAAACATATAAAGGTAAAGTGATCACACACAGAGACAGAGGATTGACAACAAGTTCTCTGTTGCTACAACACATCTGCTCCAAACAACCTGCAGCAGTCAGGCACCATTAAAACTGAGGAGGCTCCACCTACTGCATCTGCTTTTCATCTGTTGTGCAGAACTCAACCTTAAGAATGAGATGATTTCATTTGGCCTGAGCCTGGGCTCAGTGTTTCTCCTAATGATGAAGCTTTTTCCAAAAAACCCCCCAATGAATGTGGTGTTTGACTGCCGGCTACAATAAACCTTCCTGTGTTTAGTCTAACCAAGAAACAAAATATGTTCATGTGTCATAAGGTCTTTCCCAACCACAGCATTTTTCATAAAATATAATAAGTTATCATGATGACCTGCTTTGTAATGTTCGCACAATAGGAGCCGTCTAAAGAAGGACATCAGGGGGTCATATTTAGCAAGCTGCTCCTCTAAATCTCCCGTTTCCATTACACGCCTGGCTGGTCCCCTGATGTTAGCGACCAGGGAGAAGAGAACGTCGCCCTGCCAAGAGCCACCATTGAGCCAGAACTCTCCCACACATACTCAAACACACACACACACACACATACTGTATATACAATACACTCCACTCATTATAACAGGCCTGTCATTTCCAGAAAAATCCCAGATGATCATCCCTGAGTGACTCTCTATAACGGGAAGAGAGTGCGTGTATGTTTATGTACACGTGGGCGGAGGATAAATTAACAGTGGTACCAAATTAGCAGCAATGTGCTGTTCTGAGTGCTACGGTCTTAGTCAGCATGTTAACGCTAATCCGCATCCCTCTGCAACCCTTCTTCTCTGTTTGATGGTAATTCTGACTGAACACACCACAGGCCCCAAACAAACATCAGACACCAGAGGGAAAGAGAGAGAGAGCAAGAGGAAGTGAGATAAATGAGAGAGAGAGACGGAGAGAGAGAGAGAGAGAGAGAGAGAGAGAGAGAGAGAGAGAGAAAATGATAGAAAAGGAGTTTATCCTCGCCAGGCAGCCATGTGGCATTCTCAGCAGTGGAGCTGACCTGCAGCAAGAGCTACAGATTGTGAGGTCAGCTGATGTCCACTCCCTGGTATCACACACACACACACACACACACACACA